CTTTTATATCTTACATTTATTATTAATTCTTGTCTAATGCTGCAATACTTTCCAGACGCATGGAAAACAGCGAAAGTAACCCCAATCCCAAAATCGGGTAAACCGCCAAATAATTTAGAAAGTTATAGACCAATAAGTCTGTTAAGTAGCATCGGAAAAATTTTTGAGCAAGTACTTAAAGACAAATTAAACAAATTTTTAATGTGCCTGACGAACAATTCGGTTTCAGAAAGTTTCACAGCACCACGCACCAAATAAAGCGAATTTGCAATCAGATCAAAACTAACTTTACCAATAAAAAGTCGACTGCTTTAGCTCTCCTCGAAGTCGAAAAAGCCTTTGAATCTGTCTGGCATGAAGGTCTAATTGCAAAGCTGATTGATCTTAACCTTCCAATTCAACTAACAAAAATAATCCAAAGTTTTCTAAGCGATCGTCACTATTGTGTATCGGTAAATAACGAATTCTCTGATTTAATAAAATCTCTTGCAGGTGTTCCACAAGGTGTTTAACATTTTTTTATCTGACATATCTATGCTTGAAAACTGCCAATATGCCATGCATGCAGATGACATTTGTATACTGTATTCGCACGAGTCTGCTCACGATATTGTTAGCAAGTTACAAAGTGCTCTAGTGCAAACCTTAACACCAATGGACATGAAATACAGTGGTCAAATACCGTTAAATGTCTTGGTGTTGTCCTGAATAAAAAGTTGACTTTTCGTGATCACATTCGCCATATTAGCAATAAATTTAGAGTGCCAATAAAAATGATGTATCCACTCATCAACAGAAAATCCGATTTATGTAGAGATAACAAAATCGTTATATGGAAAGTCATATTCCAATCAATAATTTTGTACGCATGTCCTGTTTGGGGTGCCTGCGCGAAAACTCACATTAAGACTTTGCAAGTACTGCAAAATAAACTCCTAAGAATGATGCTGAACCTACCATGGGACTACTCTACTAGAAAACTACATGACGAAACAAAAATTGAGATGTTGACTGCCCGTATAGACAAAATCACTGATAAATTCAAGTTGAGATGTAACATGTCTGATAACAAATTACTCTTAAATATTCTCGATTCTGATTAATATACAATTTGTCGTAAGAGTAAATCATTAGTAGTTATCACACAATAAGGCAATATATCATTTCGTAGGTTTTTTGCTAGCAGTTTTTCCTAAATCAAATATATTTTTCTTATCTTCAAGTCTTATTTTCACAATTAAGAACAATTTAGAATTAAGGCAGTGCCATATTCTTTAAGAATGGTGATAACAATAAGTTTTACTGTATAACTTTTTCTACTATAAACAAATAAATAATAATAATAATAAAAACTAGTCTTTAACGAACACATTGATTATACTGTAGGCAAGATCGCCAAAAAATTATACTTTACGCAGAGAACCTGCAGATACTTGAGTAAAAGGTATAAGACGATGGTATATAGATCTATAATCGAACCTCATTTTATTTATTGTCCAACTATTTTTTTCATAATGAGAGATAGTCAAATTTATAAATTGCAAAAGCAACAGAACAGAGCCATGCGATCCATCCTTAGAAAACTTTATGACATAACTATCAGAGACATTTTGGCCGAATTAATTGGCTGAGTGTTAAACAACAACTTTTTTACTACACAATAAATTTTATAAGGAACATTATAGATGGCAACTTGCCTGATTACTTAAAAAGCAACATAAATTATGTCAATAATGTACACTCCAAAAATACTCGAAATAAAAATGATTTAAATCTACCTGCTTATAAAACGGAAGCAGATAAATGTAACTTGTATTATAAGGGATTACGATGCTTTAATGATTTACCAAATGATGTTAAATCAAGCAATATGAATGAATTTAAAAAAAAATTTTATAATTATTGTAGGATCCTTCCTATTTAGTGATGCATGGGCAATCTTCCAGACTTTCAATCGCAATGCATACGCACCAAGTATACTGTGGCATTACGCCAACATATACCCTTCCGCACGCTTCCGAAAAGCAGCCGAGGCTCATCACAAAACGCATCACTAGATCAAATCTGTGAATCGCTGTTTAGATGCTTGTTTCGCACTTTGCATGCATACGCGGTGGCTCAACCGCAGCCAAATAGTGCAATCATTGTAATGATTTGTTTTGGAAGTATGCCTCATTGTTTTTCACTGCAGTTGGTGTCCATATAAATGGCCTATACTTTATACTTTGTCTAGGCTTTAAATTATAGATCCTAAATATACATAAATATGTATATGCATATAAGTGTAAGCTAGGCTTAATTAAGCTGTAAGATTAAATAAATAAATAAAACAAATTCCAGTCGTCGGGCATGCGTTCATCTGACTATATTCTGCACAAGAGTTGATGCATGCACCTTATCAACTCCTCGCCGCCGCATTTGAAAAGCTCAGCTGGTAGGCTGTCAGCTCCAGCAGCTTTGTTGTTTTTCAGCCGCGTTATTGCTATACGTACCTCGTCATAGTCAGGCGGTGGAACGTCGACTCCGTCATCATCGACTGCGGGCTCAGGTTCTTCTTCTCCACAACTTTCCGTGCTGCTACCATTTAGAAGGGCGGAAAAGTGTTCCCTCCATAACTTAAGTACGCTCTGGACATCGGTTACTAGGTCGCCATTGTTGTTCTTACAGGAGTACGCCCGGGTCTTGAAACCTTCCGTAAGTCGCCTAACTCTCTGGTAAAATTTTCGGGCATTCTCACTGTCGGCCAGCATTTCAAGCTCTTCGCACTCACGTATTTTGGCCTCTCTCTTCTTATTGCGGCAAATACGTCTCGCTTCCCTCTTCAGATCCCTATAGCGGTCCCACATAGCGCGCGTTGCGCCCGATCGCAGCGTGACCCTGTAGGCGGCATCTTTTTTCTCTGCAGCTTCCTGACACTCCCCATTATACCAGTTGTTCTTTCGGGCTCTCTGAAATAAGACTACTTCTTCGGCGGCAGTACTTAATGAGCGGGAAATGTGGCTCCACTGCTCGCATATGTCGGTTTGTTGAAGAGTGCTCTCTGAGAGTAGGTGTGAGAGTCGAGTAGCGAAAGCGCTGGCTATCTGTTGCGATTGCAGATTTTCGACGTTAAGGTTTCCTTGCATATTTGAGCGCACATTTTTTGCTGCACAGAGGAGGGTGCATATCTTGGCTGCAACACGATAGTGGTCCAAGTCGATGTTTGGGCCTCGGAGCGTGCGTACGTCTAAAACACTGGAAGCGTGCCTTCCGTCTATCACAACATGATCGATTTGGTTTTTCGTTTTTCGATCCGGAGATAGCCACGTAGCTTGATGGATCTTTTTATGCTTGAACCTTGTACAGCATACTACCATGTGTGGGGGGGGGGATTCTCATCCGAGGCTTTGCCTTGCTGCTTCACTCGAAGTGGTGTTTACGTGGCGGGTCCCAAACCCAGCGCACAACCCATTGCTGGGACGGGGGTGGTTTCGCAACCAAATATACGTTTATATAGCGAGCTGCTTGCTCCAAGCAGACACCCGCTTGCTGCCGCACCTACTGGTGAACAGACGCTGCAGATTTCAGTGAGCATTTAAACGGAATAAGTCGGAGTGGCCCCACCGAAGCTCCCTCTCTTTCTGCCGTGACACAAGGCTCCACTCGGATTGGTTACCGCATCTCGCACATGGGTTTCTCACGTTGCCCAGAGTGCGCGAACGAGGACGCAAGAGTCGGGATTGAGTATAGCCATGCAACTGTAACTGCATACCCAGCGCAACGACTATACCCCATTGCACTCCCAGAAGTATACTTACCCTTTTTCATTACAATTCTATTAAAACTAAAGGAACCATTTGGAAGGGCCCTTACAAAGCAGTTAGAAGTTCTAGAGAGAATGAATGATTTCATGCAGTTGCAGATCATTCCTAACAAGAATGGGTTAGAGCATTTCCAAAGAGGCATCCTTATGTTGAACAAGGCATTGGTATAACCTTACGAATATGTACGTAAAAATTCAAACGTGGAATAAATTTTTACGTATAAACTGAACCAGGACGTGGTAGAGCACTTTTTTGGTGCTATTCGCAGCAAAGGTGGACTTAATGACCACCCAACTCCAAAGGAGTTCATATGTATATAGGCTGCGGAAGTACGTAATAGGTATAATTCACGTTGATTATTAAATACAGATTACATGACTTTCTTTTTTTTTAGCACGGAACACGGGGTCTTTACAAGGCACGGGAAATGTATCTGGAGATTCAGACGATTGGCGAGCTTTTCGGACACGCAGACGATGTCAATGTTAGGGGACCCCTCAACAAGCTCATTTGCAAGTCAGTCTGCTGCAAAGTCAGAAGAACTAGTTCCAGACGAATACTTTTCCGATCTCATGGATTATATAGAAAAAGACCCCGAAATGAGCGACACATTGACCACTTCCAACCCAGACGACTGTGGCATTCTGCAGGAGGACGCCTTGGAATACGTTTCCGGATACTTGATCAAAAAGCTAAATCTCAGAGACCACTGCAGCTCTGAAAATTCGTTTACCTGGGTGGATCAAGTTTCCATAGGTTACCTCCATAAGCCGTCATCAAGTTTTTTGGATGGCGTAAAAAGACTCGAGGCCATTTTTTCCAATCTCAATGGCCTTGAAATAGTTCATTCCAAAAACATTCATACACGGCTGTTAGAGAGAAGTACGGAAGTTGAGCTTCCTGAAAAAGCGAAGCGATTGTTTTTTAAATAAATGCAGGATTTACTTCCGCATGCGAAGCCTTAATAGGCGGCTCAAAATCCAGACAGCCAAGCAGAGGATAATGGGCTCCAAAAAGTTCCTCAAAATCAAGCTCTAAGTGTGGTTAGCAAAATTCATTAAAGGTATTTTGATATATTTTTAGTAATTGCATTATTACTTTAAATTAATATAATTTATTTATTTTAAATACACTTCCAGACCAACAAAACTATTACTTTCAACCCAACATCAGAAAATAAAAAAAAAGGTTTCTTTCCTAATGGCGGTCGCCGCTCGGCAAGCAATGGTAAACCTCCGAGTGTATTTCTGCCATGAAAAACAGCTTCTCATAAAAATACAATCGCCGTTCGTAGTTGGTTGCATTCATCGTGTGTTATAACTGCACAAGTAAAATATATAAACAAATAAAAAAAAAAACTTAAGAAAATTACTTTGAAAACATGAACGTAAAACATACACAAAGTTCATCCTTCGTCGTTTCGACTACGCACATTTAAAAAATAAGTACTTACACGACGCGTATGAATCTAAGTAACCGCACACATCAACAGCACAACACCGTCTAGCGCTGTACGAAAAATTAGCACTATACAAACAAAGGAAAACAGCGATAACGGTAAAATAAAAACTCGCGCCATCGAAACGACGAACCATGACCTTCCAAGGTTAAAGACATCAAAGTGCCCACACACAAAGACTTGCAATCATATTTCTCGTCAAAATGACAGTTGGTAGGCCATCGGTGTTTGCCTGTGGAGTTCTGCGGTAACATATGCCCTTGTTGTATATAATTTGATTAATCAGAAGAGTGTTGAAATCAGCAATGAAACGAAACAGCAGCTTCTTGAACTTATTTGCTTTTACAATAACGAAGAACCATTGCCGTAAGAATTGGTTGAAGAACGTTGCTTTAAGGCTAACGCAGATGCACGTAAACGTAATCGTAAAACTTGGAAAGACGGCGAACCATCTGAAAAGCTGTTTGGAGAATTATAACCAAAAACACCGCAATCTTATGCAGCGCTTATATTAGCCCGGTATTATGGAAGAAATATTAAAAGCTTCTAAAATGCAACGAGCTGTCGAACTAATGGCCCGCTTCTGGGGGGCTACTCTGTAATGCGGTACGACAGAGAAATGCGATGCGATAGGCAATCAACTCTGTGTATTACTGACGATGTGTCGGCGCGAATGCGAATCACTTGTTTTCGCCTTACATTACTCTACCCTGGTCCGATATGGTTATATTTGATCACACAAACCAAAGTTACTTTGTATTTAAATTAGTTATTTTGTATTTAAATTAGTTATTTTGTATGTAAATTAGGACCATAATGGTTGTACATCCGCGTTGCAGCAATAAAGTTGAATTTTAAGAACAAGAGAAAGGAGCCTACTGTTAATCAAGTAGCTTTTGTAGCACTTACCCTCAAAACGCTAGTATCCATTCGATTTCAATACGTAGTTTATTGGTAATTCTATTAACTCTAAATAAATGCTTAAAAAATTACTAAAATTCGACTAAGACTAGAGATTTAAATTTAAAGACATCATACGTTAATGTGCATTCTAATTAACGATCTTTGTCTGTGTCATTCATTACATTTTCCCATTGTATGCCATCATGCGGTAGATCACTTTGAATAATCGGGAATAACCACGCCAATAGCATTCGTCTTCCCAATACAATCTCCAAATTTCGTCGTACTCCGAGACCATATCATTGTAATGTTTCTCACAATTCTTAGCTCCACGCATTATATATGGCGCATGATATGCGGTGAGACCATGGAGTAGGCGCTCGCAATAATATTTAGCTTGCAAATAAGTAAATACAAATTTTTCCAAGACATACCAAAGCATATCATGAATATGGGAAATACAATTTTGATCAAGGTCTGCCAATTAACATAAGTATCTGCATGTAGCCACCAGAAGTAGAGGCTATTGTAAACTGCATAATGGGCTCCAATTGCAAGGTATAAAGGGAAGAATACAAAGTATCAGTGGTTATTATGGCCAATGCGTGATTCTGTAAAGCCACAGTGGTGATCTCTTTTTGGAATGCAAGTATCACTAGGGATGAATCGATACCATAGAAGTATCGATACCTGTACTTGGAAGTAGCATCGAAAGAAAGTATCGATACCCACAAAGTATCGGGCTAAAAGTATCGATACCTACTTATATCGATATTTGTACCTATATAAGAATTGAATTATGTTTATGTTTGTTTGTATTAAAAAACGCTATCAATATGTGCCAAATTAACTTATATGACTATCATTATTGATTTTAGATTAATCTTTTAGATTCTTTTAAGAAAAACTTCCAAGTTTTAAAACAAGGATGGACCCTCAAAAAACAAGAAAAAGTATAAAGTCCAATAAATTATTTTTAAAAAGGATACAGAATTTTCTTTTTTTTTATATAAGTATTTTATTTGTTTGTATTTATTTCATACAAATTAATTAGATAATAAAAACTATCTGTATTATAACACTGTTCAACAGCATTTTTGCAGAGTAACAGTGCTATATTTCTGGAAGAAGTTATCATGTTTATCATTTTTAATGAGACGATAATAGGTCTTTCTTTGTACAAACAACCTTTTCTTCTACACCAAAGCTCTATGTGGCTGTTCTAGAATTTGTACTTTTGGCATTTTGTCTGATGGCCTTGAAATACAAAAAGAAAGACGCAAATCAACTTCTTTCGGAAATATACCATTCAATTCTGATAAAAATTAAGAGTATATACTAATTTTTAAAATTGTTTAAATAATACGTTAGGTACTATAAGCCGTGAATTGAAAAAGTCGGATTTTGTCGCGCTGCCCAAAAATAATAATTTTTCCAGATGCTTTCCAGTAAGTCGATTTCGTGATGATTGTGGCCCCAGCTTTTGAAAATAATCTCTCGCATGGTACGGAAGTCGCAACTATATGTAGATACATGCGCGCCTATTTGTATTTGTATGCGCGCCTGTTGATTTTAAATCCTTCCATTTCTCTAACGGATTGGATTTTAAAGAGCAGACGGGGTTTGATAAATAAAGCTACAACTCATCACCTTTTGTAGAGTGTTTTCGTTTTTGTCCAATCGCAAGCTTTTTATGTTGGTACCAAAAGTCGAAATCTTCTTTAACGTCTTCTTCGGAGCTGGTATTAGCGTCTACTTCAATACGACTTTTTAGTTTAAAAATTGCCCGACCGCAAGCGTTTGCATCTTGAAAATGAAGATTCTTGAAGCGATGATCGAGGATAGTTCCTAAAGCTGCGTAGGTGTTGTATTCAATGAGACCAAATCTTTTACTACACTCCGCCAGGAGTTTCGTGTGTAGTTGGGTGACACAATCAAGAGTTGTAGAAAATTTACTCACTTGAGATGTTAGGCAGTTAACCATAGGTATGATCTTGGAAAGTCTGACATAATTCTGTCCTGAAGATTCTTTGGTTACGAACTCGAAAGGCTTCAGTAGCTGAACTATTTGCTTCAGTATTTCTATTTAATTTTTTGCTATCATTTCAGGACTGTCTGTATCATCAAGTATGAGTTGAGTCGCTACGAAAGAAATAGAACGCGCACCCTTTTTCGTAGATTTGTCAAAATTGGCGTCACCTCTACGTTGGCGCCTTCTTGCGTATTTTCATTGGAAGCTAAACTGCCAAAATTTTTTAACTATTCACATAGAAAATAGATTAAAAAATAAAAGTCCGGGAATAAAATTGTCAATGGATTGGGGTTTCGATACAAGTACTTTTTTCCGATACCTACTCAGTACTCGGTTCAAAAGTATCGAGTACAAAATTAGTTGGTATCGGACGAAAAGAATCGAGTATGTACTTGTATTTACTAGTATCGTTTCATCCCTAAGTATCACAAATACTGCAATGTCAAGAACATCATAAAAAAGCAGCCCATATCACGCAAGGAACGTGGCAGCAATCTGCGCCGCAAAAGCATAGCAAACCGCAAGCAAACCGCTTCCTTAACAGATCTTTATAAAATTTCTCGTCGTATCTATTTCTCTTTTCGTTAAATTTCGTTCACTTTTATTCAATAATTTTGTTTCAATGCTTTTGTTTGTTTATTTAGATGTGATCAGCTGCTTTCTACCAAGGATAAATTCGCCTTGGACTACGGCAAATGTATAAATTCGCCTTGTTTTTGACATTAAGTAGTACTGTGGATCACGATCCATCAATACAAAATACACGCACTTTTTGTTTTTGTTTTATCAACACCACCTTATATAAATTCGCCTTGAGACACGCATTTGGTTGGAGACTGCGTTGGTTATGGTGGTCATAAATTCAGCCAACACATTCAATGGTCCATGACCCGGAGCTGCTCCAATATGATGAGTAGATTTTAGTGAGCCGCACAAGCCACTGCCTCTGTTTACAAACTGGATATCTTTTTAAAATGATAAGAAAAGTGTTTCTTTCCAAACAAAATTACCTGTGCCACTCTGCCTTAGTACGGCTGTTGCTCTCTTTCATACCACAGTAATTTTGTATGCAACTCTGAATCAGCAAAATTCATGCTACTCATTATCTGCACTGATCAGATTTTAGCCCCGAAGTGCCGAGTGCTCAAAAAGGTTTATGGGCCCTGTGACACGGTCAGTAATTATCACGATATTTGGATCGCGATCCATATTGATGGATTGATGGATCGCGCACGAATGCTACATGCTCAATATTTATCGCGTCAGTATTTGCATAATTTTTGTGCTGAACGCTTATTATTTATTTTGTATGAATAATTTGCAGATAATGCATTCCACAATTATTTTAAAATTTCCCATGTTAATTAAATTTTTTTCTACTTGTTTTGAAAGGTTTTAAGCACCGATAGCGAATACGTTTCGTACTGACGAAATGTATGGATCGCGTTTTGAAAGTGCTACATGCTCAATATTTATTGACGGTATTGCGATCCGCGATCCAGATTTCAAAATTTTTAAAAATTTTGCGTTGTGGATTACGATCCATCAATACTGCATGCTACACCATCAATAAATTTCGCGATACTTGGATCACGTCAATAAATACTGACCGTGTGACAGGGCCCTATTAAAGTATATACTGGGCGGACAACACTAATAGAAACAATTGCATTGATCAGGCAACACAGCGCTCAGCAAAGATAACTAACCACATATCGAAGAAAATTATCGCTGGGCAGTCTACTCGTTAATTTATCACAGTGTGGGGCGCCTGTCACATGTTCAATATTTATTGTGATATTTGGTTCGTCATCCATGTTGATGGATTTCAAAATAGTGATGGATTGCGCGGGAATGCTATATGTTCAATATTTATCGCGTCAGTATTTACATGTTTTTGTGTTGAGAGGTTTAAAGTCCAATAGATAAAGGAAATCTTGTCTAAATTTAATGCTATTTTAAAGAAAATCATCTATACTTTTTATTATATGTATGGTGATCCCACATCTAATTTGCTCGAAATGCAACGCGAAATGCCGGGCCGTGCTTTCAATACTTGACAGATCTTCGATCCATATATAAAGGAAATGAAAAAAGGAGGTTCTAACAGCTGTTTGTACGGTGTATTTGGACTCTTTAGCACTTCGGTATATGCACTTAAGTCGATTTTTTAAG